CCTATCCAATAGAAATGTCACCCAGGGCTGTTCTTCAGCAACATTCTGGCAAGTCTTGCCTGAAAGATGTATTTGCGTGAAATGGAGGAGAGATAACATAGGACTCGTTTTTCCTCCAAGTGCTGGCAAACTTGACTTATCGGCTGCTCCCTCAGCTCCCACAGTCCGCGTCTTCTTTGCTACTGGGTGTCTCTCGACACCATCTGCCCCTACCACCAGCCACCAGGGCCTGCCACACCTACAGGTGACCTGTGAGGACCACGCTGTTCGCAGATAAGTCCCAAAGCGGCGAGGCTGTATGTAGTGGAGCAGTAGAGCTGAATGCAGGGCACAGTCTCTTCCCGGGAGCACCTGGCCACACTTCAGTGGGCAGGAAACGGCCACACAAATTCTCTGTATTTTGGTTCCCATTTCCCCTTCACACACAGGCCGGGTGACCTCTGCTTCCAGCCGGTGTCCCAGGTCGAGCCCCCGCCCCACAGGCGTCCTCATCTATCCCACGGGCACCTGCAGTTCAGGGCAGATGCTCTGGCTCTGAACTCGTCTCTTCCAGAAACTTCTGATTCTCACAGCTCTCTGCTGGCTCCTGTTGCTCTAAACCTACAGGAAATTGAGTGGAGTACTACCTCTAGGCGGGACCTTTTCTCCTTTGTATTGCAAAGTATTGCTTGCAAATCATGAATGATTATTGACAACTGTTTCATTGTTCCCACTCACTATAAACGTGGAGAAAATGATGACTACTTCACCTTCATGTGCCCGCAACATTTAACAGCATGTAATTGTGTTTGGTTAAATTAATCAAGTGGATAAATGAATGAATGAGAATGAGAAAAAGGAAGCCAAATGCCCCAACAACACTAAGTTTTATAAGAGAGTCAGGGTCCCAGGACCGTCATTCCCTCCCCTGCAAACAGAAGGCCACATGCTCAAGCCCATGGATGAGAGTGAAAACTCTAAGAAACTCAGAATTTTGAGCCCCCCCCCCCCCCCCCCCCCCCGCCGTTCTCTGCATTCTGGTAAAACTAGTATTTCCCAACCAGATTTTCAAAAAGATTTTTAAGTCCACCAGCCATCTTTCGGAACTCTCATATGTTTTTACATCTGGGTCTCTGGGGTGTCAGCCAGACAGGCCCAGTAAGAGCGGCTTCACACACAGGCAGCACGTTCTCTGAGCGCGGGGCTGCTAGTCATCCTGCACCTGGGACGGGCGGCAAAGTGCCCTCGCTCTCATAAACAGGAAATCAGGGGGTTGGCCACATCAGCGCCGGCTCTGTAATCCTTCCTCCGGTGCAAAGGTGTCTAATGGACACATAGGTCTGCGGGGGCGACGCATTCCAAAGAGCAAATTTGCATCTAAGTGGCTTCTGGTGGCTGGAGACTCCACGCCATTCAGACCTCCGTTTGGAAAGGGAGTGATTCAGAGTGGGGTGAGGGGTTAAAAAAAGAACCCCAGGCTGCAATTACCTTCCCCATCTGGTCAGCATCTGCTGGGCGGATGGTGTCTGATGGCAGAAGGGACACAGGGGCCTTTTCTAGTGTGTCTCCCGCTAAGTAAGCCCCCGCCCGTCACAATGCAGGATTAATAGCTGTTGATAGATGGAAAACACATTAATGTCCCAGCAGGTTCAGTGCCCACAGAAAGACTCTGTTCAGGAACCGCGTGCCCGATGGAACTCCATAACGCTGCTGGAATTTTTCAAACGATGGCATACAGTAGAGAAGGGATTTTCCTACCTAAATCACAAAAACATCATTAAGAGGAGGCCAGGGCTGGCGCGGCCGATCCCTTCAATGGCTGCTTTGTTGGCTTAAAAATAACACGGGCTCTTGGGGGAATTCCAGTGGCAAATTAGCTCTCTCTATAAGAAGTCTTTACAGATGATACTTCCGCTCAGGTCAGAGACAGCCACGGACCTTTCCTCTCTTTCCACGGTGCTTCACCAAGACAGAACTTCAAACCCTGAACACGAGAATCAAAGGGCCTTTCATGTCGAAGGAAACAAAGGAACCTAAAACCGAACTCTCGTCAATCCCCTGTGTATTTCCTGTCTGTTCGCTCTTCACAGGGCATCATGGGAGCATCACAGCAAAGCCCCTCTTCACAGGGCATCATGGGAGCATCACAGCAAAGCCCCTCTTCACAGGGCATCATGGGAGCATCACAGCAAAGCCCCTCTTCACAGGGCATCATGGGAGCATCACAGCAAAGCCCCTCTTCACAGAGCATCATGGGAGCATCACAGCAAAGCCCCTCTTCACAGGGCATCATGGGAGCATCACAGCAAAGCCCCTCTTCACAGAGCATCATGGGAGCATCACAGCAAAGCTGGTGACTGCTGGAAGGTTTTTGCTCCTCCATGCCCTCAAGATGCCGATGGGACAGTGTGTCCTGGTGAACAAGAGGTGAGCTAACAAGTCAAGTGGCACATGCAGGAGGACAGTCTTGGAAGTTTGGGGCAAATAACTCCTGATCCAGAGAATAGCAACACACCAGTGCAACAGCTGCGCTTTACCGAAAACTTCACACATACTGTCTCATGTAATCCTCCCAGCCTTGGCACCGACGTGTTCAGAACATGCTCCGGTCAGACCAGTGCGAGTGAGCTCCGGTTAGCATCACGTGGGGCTCAATTCCAGGGGCCAGCTGGAGGACCGGCCCAGCTGGGGACAGCTGCGGGGGTGCATTCACCCGCACTCAGAACGCTCTGCTTGAGGGCTGCCTCCAAGGTCGCACAACCTGGAAAGGTCACGCCAGGACCCGAACCCAGGTCTGCCTACCCGCTTGTCACCACACCCCCTCTGGGTGTCCACAGGCCTCTCCGTTAATTGTGATTTTATGCACCAATGAGAGACTGCCCTTATTTCTGTTTATCTTTCATGTTCCCATCTACCCACCCCTCACTTCCCTTTCCCCTAACCTTCCAACTGGACAGACTTCCCTCCGAGACACTCACTCGCAGGTACTTCCCTTCCTTCACGAGCGATGCAACTGCCTCAAAGACAGCAAGCCGTCCCGTGAGCACGGGGTTTGGAGAAGCAGCCGCCATGGCCGCCTGGTTTCCGCCAAGCCCATCGCCATGGAACAGGAGGGCCAGGCTGCGCCGGGCAGGAGGGCGGCGTGCTCTGGGAGGATGATTCACCCCACAGAGCACACGGGCTGGCAGGAAACCCCGGGAGCGGTCAGCGGCTCTGCCCGGCTGCAGGAGAAGCACCGCCCAGGGAGGGAGGACCGAGGATGCCGGAGAACAGCGGGGACCAGCACCGCCCACCCTCGGGGCAGCCAAGCCATCTGCACCCACAGACCCACACGGGCTCCTGAGGCAAGTCATCAAGGCTGAGAACAGCAGCATGGCCCCCTAGGAGGAGTCATGTCATCCCACCTGTATGCAGGGCCACTGCCTTAGTCTGCTTCCTTGGGGGGGGGGGGGGTGTGTGTAGGGGAGGGGGGTGAAAGGGGAGAGAGACAATAAGTTTAACTGACTTACTTGATCCTTACTATTTTAAAAAGGGTAAATTTACTGTGTTTGCTGGTCTCCATAGAAACTCATTCCTGCAAGTACCAAAGTGCTGCGATGGCAGTGACTCTGTACGATGACAAAACACACAGAGGAACAGCAGGCAGGGGATGCGTCCCTGGAGAATATGAATCCGAGAGGGGACACGCTGTGTGCTATGGGGGACACGAGGCCGAGCACGCAGCTGGGGAAGCTAAAGGACGGCCGTCATGGAGCCCAGCCATTAATTAGTCCGCCATACTTTCTGTTTTATGACTCTCCTTTTATCCGCCAGCAGTCCGTTTTGTGGCATGTGAAACTGGGGTGAATGAAGCCTCGAGAGAGGAGCAGACAGCACCGGATACCTTACTGAGTCCCAAAACGCACAGTCTGATTTTTTTATTCCAGAAACGGCCCAATGAACTTGCTTTATAATTATGCTAGCCCAACTTCTCGTTTGTGTTTTTCATTCATTTTTGGTCACTATGCCGCGACTTCCATTGGAAATCCTCTATGGTTGTAATCAGGTACAAACATTACATCCTAGCCGAAACCAGTTTGTCTCAGTGGATAGAGCTTCGGCCAGCAGACTGAAAGGTCCCGGGTTTGATTCCGGTCGAGGGTATGTACCTTGGTTGCGGGCACATCCCCAGGGGAAGGTGTGCAGGAGGCAGCTGGCTGATGATTCTCTCTCATCGATGTTTCTGACTCTCTATCCCTCTCCCTTCCTCTCTGTAAAAAAAATCAATAAAATATATTTTTTTTAAGAATTACACCCTGTGCCTTCTGGATAGACGCTACTACCCTCGGTCCCTGCGGGGCTTGTCCAGTGTTCCCCCGGGGAGCACAGCAGGCACCTCGGTCAGGGTCAGCCTCGGCCCCTATGTCTCGGACTATAATGTGTGAGATCCACAGGACGACACGCTCAGAAGCTCACCCTCCCCATGACGGCCTGCCTCGTATGGAAGTCTCAGCTTTAGGAAAACACACTGAGAAACGATGTACTGCTTTTAGGCCTCAACAGCCATTTTCATGCGTGCCCTCCATTCCTGGTGCGCAGTCTGCTGAGACAGAGGCACTCAGCAGCAGGGGGAAAGGACTGAACTGCAGCGACTCTTCTGAGAACCCAACAGATCACCGCGAAACGCTTTTGCCTCTGACTCAGCTGAATAGCAAAACCAACCTTGGCATTTTCCTGTGGGCTTTTGTCTACCTCACTCACAAAGCAATGACAATGCTAAGCAGCCCGCGTGACCTGGTAAAGATGCTGCCGTTTTAAAGAATGCTACTTGGTGCAAAATTATGTTCTGCTTTCACGGCAAGGGTTAGTTAGGATTCCTGATGTGCATGGGATTTTGACCATGTCTTCTTGGTTGCCATTCGTGTCCTTCTCCTAATACGCGAGAACACACTGTGAACAGCTGACATAGTCGAAGTTTGCAGGAAAACAACAGCCCACAGGGTTCAGCTCCCACGGTGGAGGAGGAGGGGGGCCGCGCTCACCGCTCGCCGTGTCCTTCCTGAAGTTGTCCAGGAACTCCTCCAGCAGCTGGGACTGGTTGGGAGGGGGCAGCGGGCCCTGCTGGTCCCTGGAGAAGAGGTCACTGTCCGACCAGGAGGGGCACAGGGTCCCCTTGGTGCCCGGCGGCCGGCCGATCAGCGTGAGCCCCACGCTCTTCTCTGAGAACAGGGCCTCCATCTGCTTCAGGTCAAGGTCAGACACCGCTTCCCCGTTCAAGGTCATGATCTCGTTGCCCTTCCTCAGTCCTAGGAGGAGGGGAAACAGAGGAAGAGAAGAGAGAGAGCGATGACTCGGAGGAAAGATTTCGAGACGCAAGGAAGCTGCAAACGCGGACGGTGTGCCTCCAAGGGCTGTGCAGGTGCTGTCTCCAAAGAAAGCGCCAGAATGTGTTTGGACGCCACTGACGTCAACAAATCCCCGCGCTCTCACGGCTGGGACCGGACGGAGCCGTTTGAAAGGGAAACGATCTGAGAGCCGTCCGAACGAGCTGCTCTCCTTACTTATCTGCTGTGAAGTGGCCTCGGGGGAATCACACGTGTTTTATCTGTGTCTGTCTGCCTGGCCAGCTCTCACATCTTCCTCTGTCCATCTGTATGATATGCATGTATGTGTATAAATGTACACATGGTTTAACGGATGATTCTATTACATTTTGAAAATGAAATGTACTTTAATAAGCCCTGCCAAAGCGAACACACACGTAAGCCTATGTATTTCCGATTAAACTATTACGTTCAGCCGAAACCGGTGTGGCTCAGTGGATAGAGCGTAGGCCTGCGGACTGAAAAGGTCCCAGGTTCCATTCCGGTCAAGGGCATGTATCTTGGTTGCGGGCACATCCCCAGTGGGAGGTGTGCAGGAGGCAGCTGATCAACTAATGTTTCTAGCTCTCTATCCCTCTCCCTTCCTCTCTGTGAAAAATCAATAAAATAAATAAATAAATATTATGTTCACTTTCTTTAAAATTCTAGGAAAGACCATTTTCTGAAACCAGTAGAGAAGGCATTGGAGACCGCACTGCACAGCCTCGAAGGAGCTGGAAGGCGCCGCACGGACCTTCTCCGTACGCCAGGCCGTCGGGGAGGACATCGCTGATGAAGATCCGGCTGAGATGCTGGTGCTCGTCCACCTGTGCGGTCACCGCGAACCCTGCCAGCAAAAGCAAACGGAAACACGGGCCTCAGCGCAGCTCCCTCACTCGCTCCCCAGCCCAGCAGTGCTTGCCCGAACGTCTGTTCTCATGAGCACAGAATGCAGAGAGAGCCCACGGCACAGCCACTCTGAAAGCACACATAGCTAGCAGGATCAGAGAAAGAGGAGCACGTCCGATCGAAAGGTTTAATAAACACAAATACAAGCTCACTGGAGCCAGGGGCCACACACGCATGCTCACAGAAGCGTGACTGACACCAGGCCAAAGGCCGAAGCAACCGCACGGTCCACCCACAGGGGAATGGATACGCCGTGGTATGTCGACAATGGAACATGGCTCACGCTTTCAAAAGGAAGGGCATTCTGATACATTCCATGGCAGGGACACACCCGGAGGACCTTGTGCTCTGTGAAAATACCAGGCTCAGAGGAACGAATAACTGCCGGAGGTACCGGAGTGATCAAACGGGTAGAGTCAGAGGGCAGAATGGGAGTTGCCGGGGGCTGGGGGAGGAAGAATGGGAGCTACTCTCTAACAGGTACCGAGTTCCGGTTCCGTAAGATGAAAGCAGTCCTGCAGATGATGGCGGTGATGGCAGCCCATCCACGTGCATGCACACCGAACTGTCCTTGCTAACCATTCCACAAAGTGACTAAGGTGGCAAACGTTATGGGTATTTCACCACAATTTTCACTTTTAATGTTAAGAACAAAAACTACTCCTATTGAAATAAGCCAAGTTCAGTCCAATGAAATCAACACTTGTTAAGAAATAACTGTATATACTAGTGTGTGAGGCGAGGCACTTTAAGGAGGTAGAAAAACACTGGGATGGAGTGCTTGCCCTACATGCCACAACACGGGTAACCAGCCTTGGCCTTGGACACTGCCCTCCTCTGACTCCACTTGTCAGCATGCCCTGGTCCCAGACCACCGGGAGCCTCTGAGGAAGGCAGGACGGCATGTTCCGTTGACCCCTCACTCAGTCCTTCAGTCATTCAAGCGCAAAGGAGAGTCCCCAAGGGTCATGGGGGAAGTAGAGGGAAGGCCAACACCAGCACGGACGAGACGTTACAAGGCCGTCCACGGAAACGCCAACATAACATTTGGGTAACAGGTTACAAGAAACAAGAAACAAATACCAAATCATAAAAAGGAAATTTTAACATAAAAAAAAAACCATGAGGAGAATTTGATCAGCTTGAGTCATTTTAAGAAAGATAGGTATATTAATAATAATTTAACAAAGTAAGAAATAGTCTCTCTATTGGTGATTACCTAACTATTGAGTTCGTATGATAAAAGACAGAACGAAAGACAGAAGTGAACTTGATACATGAGCATACTCTAGAGAGAGCTCAAAACCAGCTTACACACAGGTAAACAGAAATGCAAGAATTCAACATTTCAACGTGATTTGGGCAGCCCTGACCCTGAGTTGTTAAACGGAGGCAATCAAATAGGCTTCTTCAAGAAAGTCAGACCTTCAGTGAGTTCTGGAAGGACAGGACTGATTCACACCAGCAGGGAGGCGGGAGGAGGGGGCAGGAAGGATGCCCGCCGGGCGGCTGACAGTGAGCTGGGAGCAAAGACACTGTCCCATGACTCCTGAGCGACTCAGCCTGGACAGCACCTGGCACGCCATTCATTAAAGTGCTATCGCCATCATTTCCTATCAAAGTCCTTTTCATTATTCTGGCCTCTTTCCCTAGTATAATAATAATACATATCTTTTTAGCCTGCTAATATCAATAAAAATGAAGGCGATAAAGCGAGTCCAGAAACTACTATCACAATTTCTGAAAATAAAAATTTAAGGGGAAAAGTCAGGCCATCGCAGACCATGGCAAACCCAGGAAGGAACAGTCAGGGCGCTGCTCCGCTCACCGAAGTCAGACGCACTCCCGGGCTTCGTGAGCTGCACGTCATACACATTCAGCGGGAAGACTTCGATTTCGTCATAAACCTAAGGAAGGCGAAAACCGCAAAGTCATGGAATCTCGGAAATGGATCTTGATTGTTTCCAAACGAGACGCCAAATTTTTAAACAGAACCCCCAAACACAAAAATTCCTTATTTTTAAATTAAGAGGCCGTGGATGTGGCTCCGATTCTCTGACTGACCCCCACTCACCTGTTCCTGCAGGAACTCGTAGGGTGCAGGGATGCAGTATTCGATGTTTTCATCCACCAGTTTCCGGAGCTGCAGGCCATAGTGGCTGGGTTCCACCTGCCTCATCTGTAAGGAAAGGGACAATTTTTCAGGTTGTAAATATCCTTTCTAAATTCACCACTGCTCTCTTTCCCCCTCCCCAACACTCCAACCAAAGGGCGTGTATGCATGCACATAAGCACAGCCAATGGACACAAGACACTGGGGGAGGAGGGATGAAGGCATGCGACAGGGGGTGGGGGAGGCTGGGGGAAGGTCAATGGGGAAAAAAGGAGATATATGTACTACTATAGGTAATACTTTAAACAATAAAAAAAAATTATAAATTCCTCACTGCTCATGAAAAATCAAAGTGGAAATTTCTAAAGAAATCAAATACCATATGGAAGCAGCTGAGTTTAAACCATATATAAGGGCTTGAATTTTTAAATGGCAAGAACAGACAATTATTTTCAAAGTTTTCTCTAAATGATACTGTTTACCACTAAAAGCAAGAGATATGTTTTTAAGAGGTCCCAGTCCCAGATATCTGACAATAGAATATACAGGGCAAAAGTAGGGCTACAGTTGTGAGTGCGTGAAACATAGGGCTTGTTCTTATCTATTATTTGCTAATTTTTATGTTATATAATTGTACTACAACTATAAACCTACCCAGCCCTGCATTGTCCTATTTCAGCACACGCTCTCCCTTTATTGGTGTGCCTACCTTTAAGTTGTTCCCACTACTAAAGCAGAAAAATTGGTGCAATGTGGAAATCTAATATTCTAGACTTCAGAATTAGGAATTTCCTACTCTAAAAGTTTTTCAAAAGGAAAATATGTACTCACGTACATGTGGCATCATTGCTATAAAACAATGTTGTGGACTGACTAAAGAACCTTACATAATGGAGGAGAAGGAAATTCATAAGTAACACATGTAAATGTCTGGTATACTAAGGCTTAAATCAAAGTGACAAGGGAGGGCTAAAATTAAGGATCCTCTACATCTATTAAGTGTGCATGGTAAAGAGTAACCAAGCGCTGCATGCCTTTTTTACCTTTTCCTATGGTTGGTTGTACTTTCTCTAAAAACTTAAAAAATATTTTAGCTCTCCTCCGCCATCTGGTGGTCTAAAAACCTCTAATCTGACGGTGCCGGGTCTATTTTTGTCTCAGTGACGTACCTTAAGCTACCTTTTCAGAAATAAAGCCCAATTTGAATAATGAATAAAGCATCTCATAACGGTCTGCATGAAACCACTGTGAATGGTATCAAGTTACGTGCTTAATCCAGTGGGAACGTGACAAAACGACTCAGGATCAAATCAAACTACTCCGAAGCTTAGCGCACCGTCTCCGAGTAACTTAAATGACAACAGCCTTCAGACGTTCAGAGAATCTCAGTAAATACCCAGGCTCTTCAGGAAGACGAGGAGCCCTGCCCTAGCCAGCCTGACTTCTGAAAGAAGGAAAACGGAGAATGCTAACAAACACGCCCAGTAAGACGTTTCCGTTTCCCTGGTGTAGATAGGGAGGTCTGAGGACCACAGACGTAGGAGGCACAGGAATGCGACATTAATGATTCTTTTTCCTCAGAATCACATCTCTGCAGCGAAACCCGTTACCTTGCACGCCAAGGTCAGGATGTCCTCCACTCTGTGGTCCGGCTTGATCGCCACGGTAACGCCCTGGCTGTCCTGGAAGTGAATGTAGGTCTGGGCTTCCCACGGGGGGTCTCGGGGAGCACCGTCCACTGCTGAGCCGCACGTGTGCAGAAGCTCGTCCACCTGTTTTCCCATTCCGAAAGGAAATGCAGGCTGACTTGATTTTTTAAAAATGAGGGAAACTACTGCAATCATATCCCCTTCATTTACGGGACTATCCTATATAATAAAGAGGTAATATGCAAGCTGACCCTCACGCCTTCTCACAGACGGCTGCCCCCATGTGGTCAAAGATGGCCACCACAAGATGGCCGGCAGGGAAAGGTAGTTGTGGGTGATCAGGCCAGCAGGGCGCAGGGCAGTTGGGGGCAACCAGGCCTTCAGGGAAGAACAGTTGGGGGTGACTGGGATGGCAGAGGAGGGCAGTTAGGGGCGACCAGGCTTACAGGAGAGGGCAGTTAGGAGTAACCAGGCCTGCAGGGGAGGGCAGTTGGGGGGACCAGGCCTATAAGGGAGGGAAGTTGGGGGCATTCGAGCCAGCAAGGAGCAGTTAAGTGCCCATCAGGTTGGCAGGGGAGTGGTTAGGGGGTGATCAGGCTGGCAGGTAAGTGAGTGGTTGGAAGCCAGCAGTCCCAGATTGTGAGCGGGATGTCCTACTGCCAGTTTAGGTCCACAGGGATCGGGCCTAAACGGGCAGTCGGACATCCCCTGAGGAATCCCAGATTGGAGAGGGTGCAGGTTGGGCTGAGGGACACCCCCTTCGCCCCCAGTGCATGAACTTCATGCACCAGGCCTCTAGTTCTGTCTTAACCCTTTCACACTCCTTTCATCTCTGCCTTCTCTTGATCCTCTGGGGCTGGCAGACAAGCCCAGTTTTTCCTTCTTCGTTTTACCCACAGGAAACTGATGCCAGGGAGGCCGAGAGGAAGTCAACTGACTCTTTGGCCCGTGTTCTGGCCACTACGCACGCTGCCTCCTAACTGCCTCTGAGCCATGATCCTCGTGAATTCTGCGACACTCTCATCCATGGCCACAGATGCCCGCCTGCCTCTACGTAAACCGAGCACGCTTTCCTTCTCCCTGGTTTCTACTCGCTCCGAAAAACCAGCCTCATATCCTGGGGAAAGGCTCCTCCGTCCTTCAGCTGTCCCACCTCCTTTTGGAAATCATCCCCACACATCAGCCTTTTCCGAACAAGCTGTTTCCTTCGTCCCCGCGGTCCCTCAATGACCTCACGCTAACCTGCACATCCAACGTTTTATAAAGAAAACCAGAGAACATTTAGCAAGTCTATCAGAAACGCTTGCCTCCGACCAGATTCCTAGGTGGGTCTGGTGGCAAAGCAGAGACCTGAGGGCTGGAGAGACCTGATGTTTAAGCCACAAACGCCCAACCAGCAGGCAATGACCTAGGACAGGACCCTGCCCTCTCTGACCTGTGTCCCCTCCGCGGGAGCAGGTGTTATCATAAACCACACCAGGTCATTAACTCACAATACGAGTTTGTGAGCAAAGGAGAGGATATATGTGAAAACAGCTCCCATAGCAGGAACCTTACACACAGATTCAATACAACCCAGAATTCTATCCCCCTCGTCACACATTCAAGTTCTTTTTTAAAAAATATATATTTTATTGATTTCCTTACAGAGAGGAAGGGGGAAGGATAGAGAGTTAGAAACGCCAATGAGCAAAACCAATCAGCTGCCTCCTGCACACTCCCTACTGGGGATGTGCCCACAACCAAGGTACATGCCCTTGACCCGAATGGAACCTGGGACCTTTCAGTCCACAGGCTGATGCTCTCTCCACTGAGCCAAATCAGTCAGGGCACACATTCAAGTTCTTAATAATGGATAATTTTACTTAGAATTCCAAGCATTAAAAAAACACACAAATAAATAAAAGATCCTCCTATAAAGGAGTTGAAAACAAACATAGATATATTAAAGAAATTTTTTTAAAAAACACAAATAGGTTTAGCCAAGCAAGGGAAGACCTATCCTCCTGTGCTGCTGTCTTTAAAAGGGCTGATCATCTCTGAGAGGCATTTCTGGACCCGCCATGGACCTGTCACTTTCTGTATATTTTCCTGGACACGTGATGACAGCCAGGGCGAATATGAACCCCCCGTGCCAAAACAACAGGAAAAAGAGGCAGAGGAGCAGGTGCCTGGAGCCAAGGACGGTGAAGCAGAACGGACACCACGCTCTCCTGAGGGTCCGCATCTCACAAGACTGAGTGCTCTCCGTCCTCTCCGTCCTCTCCATCCCGTCCTCTCTGTCCTCTCCATCCTCTCTGTCCTCTCCATCCTCTCTGTTCTCTCCGTCCTCTCCATCCCGTCCTCTCCGTCCTCTCCGTCCTCTCCGCTGGGAGAGCCTCCCAGGTGCGTATCACCTGGGCAGAGAGCTGTGGCTTCAGCAGGTGAGGCAGCCACAGCAGGGACTTACTGCCTTCCCAGCTTCGCAGACCAGGCTGACTCAGAATCCACCGAGCCCCCAGCAGGGGGCACTGTGGAGTAAGAAACCACACTCAGAACATCAGAGTCCTGATTCCTGAGGCAAAGCAGTTTGATCTGGCACTTTGGGAACAAACAGGAGAAATGTGGCTGAGGACAGATGGGTGGGAGAGGGACATGAGAAATGCCAATCTACAACTAGCCCTCCTGCCCCCCCCGCCCCTCCCCCCATCAGAGGCCGGCACACAGGGCTGATGCCATCCGCTTTGGCCTGCTGTCGGCCACTGAGGGCCCACAGCCCTCTATTTGAGCAGGTGAGGAACACGAGGCTGGGAAAGCCCTCGAACCTTGCCTGAGCTCACACAGGAGCGAGGACGGTGGTATCGTGGGGATCTGAACCCAAGAACCTGGCCCAGTGTGTGCTCACCACCCTGACACTCCACGGAAATATCAGCTGGGCAGTCACCTCCCCATGGAAAGGCCGCCACCTCCCTGCCCCCGTTCCTCTTTGCGATGCAGGACGCCTGCCCGCCATTCATTCATTCCCCACCCTGAGCCAGTGCTGTGTTTGCCTCCGGATTCCTGTTCGGGACCCTGTCCCACAGCGGCAGGGCTGATGCCATTCATAGCCTCTGCCCTCATTTCAAACACTACCCATCTGGTGAAGCCTCTCCTGCTCGCCTCCCTCCCCCAAGTCCACGCAGTTCTGAGCTTCTGGCCTGTGTCTCTGGCCACAGCGGCCTGGGCACCCCCGGGTGCTAGGGTGGCTGACACAACAGCAGAGCCTCCAGCCTCCTCCCGCCCTAACACAGGGCGACCAGCACCCAGGACACACCCAGCACGTGGGTGCTGACTTACAAACACCCAGAACGTGGGTCATACATAGGCTTCCCATATCTTATTTAAATGTGCTTGTGCAGTGTCAACTTTTTCATGTTCCCTAAAAATTCAAGAGGACAGATTAACAGATCATTGCCAGGGAAGAAGCCCTGGACAAGAGAACAAGGTGCAGGGAGGTGCCGAGATGGGAAGGGAGGACGAAAGAAATACGCATTTTATACTCCATTCATCAGGGCTCTGCCCACAGCAGCTCTGAGGAGTCACCTCCTGAGCCTACCTTTGGCCTAAGGTGGAGTGGAGCGCAGGAGAGAAGGTGCCCAACAAGGACAAGAGGGTCCCAGACCGCACAAAAGATGCCGCCATGAATATTTACATAAGATTTTTTCTGTGTGAAACACACACACACACATATCCCAGAGTGTACGCAATTACAGAGGTAAAACGTGCTTACGCAAAGGAAGCATCGAGAACGTGGAACTGATTCATTCATTTGGACTAGGAAAAGGAAAGGCTGTTTGGTGCTTACAGCTCTCCTAGGTGTTACAAGTTTTGCCCGTTTGGACAGAAAACTGGATTGATTTCCTCCAGGGACAATGCTGTCCAGGCTGGAAACACACATGCTTTATTTTCAGCAAGCCGGGGAAAGCAGCCTCCCGCATTCCTGAAAAGGAACAGATCTTGGAAAGCAGCGTCTCAAAAGGAGCCATCTGGAAAGCCCTCCTCCCAGATTAATCCTTACCACTCATCTCCCAGCATGTGATTGGCTGGCTACTCACTTCCAAACCCAGCCTGCCTCCTCCTCCCCTCCCTCTCCCCCTCCCCCTCCAAATTATCTTCCAATTAGCCTATTCCAGGTTCCCAGCTCCTGCAGAAGGCAGACGGAGACTGGAAATATAACAGACAATCTGGGTCAAATCCCAGCCTTGTCAGGGCTGGAGATCTGTCTCCAGGCTCCGGGCTTCAGTATCTGCCCCTTTAAAGGATGCTTAAAATGTCAGCCTCATTTGGGGAGGGGGGGGGGGCGCTGGTGTACCTCTTTTTTAAAAAAAAAAAAAATATATATATATATATATATATATATATATATATATATATATTACTTAATGTTTTTACTTATTTTAGAGAAAGAGGAAGGGAGAGGAATAGAGAGAGAAACATCGATGAGAGAGAAACTTCATTGACTGGCTGCCTCCTGCATGCCCTCTACCAGAGATCAAGCCAGCAACTTCAGCATGTGCCCTGACCAGGAATCAAACCGGTGACCTCTTGGTTCCTGGTTGATGCTCAACCAACTGAGCAGCACAGGCAAGGCGGAAAGAACCTTCTGAAGCCCAGCCCGGAGGGTGGCATTACACGGAAGTGGATTTCACCGCTGCGATTCTGTGACGATCACTGTGAAGACCTGGCGAGGGGCTCCCAGGGACCCGTGGTGAGCACGGAAGCTCAGACCGCCCACCGTGCGGTCCAGCTCCGGCCAGTCGGCCACGAACCCGGAGCCACGCGGCTGACCTGCCCTCTGGCCTCTGCAGACGAGCTGGTTACGGTTTACAAACCACTTCAGCCCCCCGGAGGGCAGCTCCCACAGCATTCACCGGGGCCTGGAGGAGGGAAACGGAAGCCTGCGTTCTCACAGCAGATGCTCCCGGATCAAATGGCCTGTAATTACCGCCTGGATCCCTGAAGGGAAGTGAGGAGCAAATCACAGCCTGCCTGTCACACATGGGCCCTCGCCACCAGAGCTGCTGGTAAAGGGAAGCCCATTAGCAAGTGAGATGGGAGGGGGCAAAGAGGGCGGCTCACAGCTCTGGGTGCTCCCAACAACAGGACAGTGTCACAGGAGAAAGTGTGCGCTTCCTTCTTGGGCTGATGTCCAAGCATCAGTTAATATTGAAAAACCACCAATGTCTGTCTGTCTTCCTTTCTTTCTCCCCTTTCTTTTCTTTCCTTCCTTCCACCCTTCCATCCATCTGTACATGTATGTCTGTATTGTAGGGTTCCATACTAATAGTCTACTTAAACAAATGCAATGTTATAGTCAGGAGTACATGGTTTCATTCATGTTTTCCACTTTAAAAGCCCACAGTAGCATTCTCCCTGGGTGGAGCCAGTGACGAATGTGACACTACTTCCTTCACCGGAAGCCACAGACCGTTGGGTCGCCCGGAGCCAATTTTCCGGGAGAGCTTGAGGTCCTGGCCTAGGTGTCTGCCGTGGAGCCCCGTCCTGAGCCTCCTGGGGGACTGTTGTCACCATCTCCATAGCGGACGCCTCCCTGCAAACCCCGAGGCTCCTGTTACTCATCAGGAAGCACCTACACAGTTTCCCCTGGGGCTGCCCAGGCCCCTAAAAAACGCTCCAACAGGACTGACTGGCTGGACTCCACCCTGAACAGATTTCACGTCAGGGTGACTCACGGCTGACCTGTCCACGAGGCACCACCAGGCGGGGAATATCCAAAACCGCCCCGGCCCTCCTCCCGCCGCTCAGGACTGACCGCCTGCCTTTCGGGGCTACACTAACGAACACGATACGCTGCCTGTCTACACACAGACGGCTTGTACGCGTTGTAAACATCCTCCAGGAGTGATTAGCGGAGGGAAACTCCTGACGTGCAATGTTCATCATTCAACCAGCTGCGGGCAGATTTCTAAGTCCCAGGGATCCATAAACACAAATGCCCTCAATCCAATCTGCAACTCCGCTAACCCTGGTTATGAGTCTGCAGTCCCGAAGCATAAAGACGCCCTGAAAAAAGCCCTGTGGGTCAATCCCTATACCAGAAGGGGTAGCTGTTTAAATACAATAAATGGGGGGTAGCTGTGTGAATACATGCGCTTTATAAAGCAGATGCAATAATACTTCCCTCTTGCCCAGTAGAGCACCGTGGGGCTGGCCAATGATATCACAAGAAGGTTTTTTGTTTTTTTGGCAACCTGAGCCCAATTTAAGCAGTTAATTCTAATCATGAATGGCGATGTTGGCAAAACTTATTTTCAAGTCCAACGTAAGTCCTGCTAGCAGAAAGTGCTTGGATGATCCAACTTCTTAACGTTCACAAAGCTGTCGCGCATCCCCAAGTAAATAGCTATATAAAAATCCGAAAATAAAGCTCCATAAAAGGTGATCCTCACTTCCAGATGATAGGACAGCAGTCAGAGGAATAGCCACCTGTCAAAAATCAAAACAGACCCTCTTCGGACGTCATCGCAAACACTTTCCCTCTTGCCTTCCATCAGCGTATGATAACTCACGTGCTCCAGAGTCTCTGGAGAAACAGTGACCCTAAACCATGGCAGTCAGCATCCTGAAGTTCAGATCGCTCCCTGAACTCGGTGCTAGCAAGTGCTTCCGCGATGAGCTCTCAGAAGCTCCTGAAAACGTTTCCCTGTCCGGGGGCCGCACTCCAACACCAAGCGCTCCAGCCGCTCCTTACGGGATAAAATGCTCACACAGCCACCCTTCCTCCGGGACAGTCAGTGGCCGCAGCCGGCCAGCGTGTGGGACAGGATGGCCAAGCCCTGGCCCCGCGGCCGCTGGGCGAGCAGAGTAAGGAGCCCCACACTGCCCAGGCCGCAGGCCCCCCTTCTGACCAATGCAACGACAGAAGGCCCACTTGGTCCAGGGCACAGGAAGCCACGTGCCAGGCACGGCCAGCGAATGTAGTTGTGGCTGCTGCTCTGATTACTAGTCACACACGTTTATTTTAACAGGAAGTCTACAGGAAGCATACATATGAGTACGAAAGGCGATGAAAAGTGGGGATTCTTTCCTGATTCTTCTTCCTGTGTCACCAAGCACCCCGAGGGAGCAAGGGGCACCAAAAGGAAAGTGAGCAACGTGTGTGCTTCATCTGGGGGGAAGTCCAGGCTCAGGCTGCACTCCTTTGAGCCAACTCCGATGCCATTGGTAACGGACAGGGAGCATGTATGATTTGCAGCGGTGAGGGGGGGACCCAGGATCTGCCACCGTGAGTATATGGGTGTGTGTGGGGAGGGGGGGGGGGACACCCCAGGATCTGCCGTGGTATGTGTGTGTGGTGGGGATGGGGGGAGGACCAGGATGTCCCGAGAGGCCTGTGACGGCTCAGATGGAGGCACTTGCCTGAGTGAGGGAGGGCCGCTTCTCCTTCCCTCTCCTCGCCAGCGTGTCCAGCCCTTTCAGAGAGGAAAACAGGCCCTTCTTGCTCCTTCCTCGCTGGGTCAGCGAGAGCGTTCGCTTGCGGAAAGCAGAGTCGTCTCGAGAACACACCTGGTGCAGAACAGTTTGGAGCCTTGAGGGTAGTATGGGGGTGGGGGGGTAAGCTGCCTGCGGCGCCCGCTGCCTGCTCTAACGGTACTGGCCCGCCCCGGGGGACTCACCAGGGCGTGGAAGGAGGAGACGGACAGGATGCCCAGCCGGCCCAGGGCCAGCTTGGAGGGGCGGCTGGCGGCGGCCAGGAGGCTCTTGGGGTTGGGCAGCTCGCCGCCCTGCAGGCTGGCCAGGTAGCAGCGCATCCGGAACAGCTCCATGTGGAACCGCTCCAGGTTCTGCTCCCACTGCTGGATCTGCGGGAGGAGAACAGGGCGACTTAGAGGATGAGGAGGCGCGATCACGGGTCAGACGGAACGTGTGAGCCCTTCACACACTGTGGCTGGCTGGAATGAGCCCTCCACCCTCACCCCGCTCCAGCCCACCCACCCGCCCGCCCAAACACAGCCAGAGGGTCAGAGGGCACTGCGGCAGGGTCCCCAGAGTGCCTTGCCCGCAGGGCACGACCTCCAGAAACACCCGACGTAGGCGAGAAGCAGAACGGGAAGTCAGCTTTCCCTCTTTGTGCCGTTCCTTTCACGGTGACAGATGCGCTGTATGCCACACAAATGGATGCTGGACACGTGTGTGTGTGTGGGGGGGGAGGCGTGGCTTTCCATTCCTGCACATTCTGATAAGTAACTCAGACAGTAAGAAGCAAATGCACGTTGGGGATCAGGACGAATAGAGCTATCAGGCACAAGGGAAGAATTCTCCCAGCCTGTCTCACAACTGTCTTTTCGAGCCGATTCCTGGAAATCCACAGTTATAAATGCACTGTTCTGTCTTCTAATAAAGTGTCGCTGCTTATTAAAGCTTCTCCCTTACCCACACCTCCAGGTGAACCAGTTTCTGAGACACTTTCTAGATGGTCTGTAGAGGGTGGATGCATGAGAGAAAGAAAACCAAGGAGCTATTGGGTGCCAGAAGATGGAGAAGCCCATGCCGTCCGCAGTGGGTGAAAAGAAAGAGAGACATAAAATAAAGTAAAATCCAAGTCTATGCCAAGCACTAGAGATGGAGGAAGTGGACAATCTCTCACACGGTCACCGATTCCTGCACCTCACAAACTATGTTGAAGGGCATCGATGTGTTTGTGTGACTACACATCAAAGTGCAACTGGAAGGCAAAGGCAGCTCCATCTTAAACAGGGAACCGACGTCTGGTCAGAATCGCCGCGATAATCTCCAGCACACCTAGCCCTCTCCACCCAAACGTGGGGCAAGATGCAGGTGAATTCCCGGGAGGAATGGGACTCAGATAGATGCCTGGGTTTGCGGAAGGGAAGATGGGGCTGGCAGACCCAACAGCTTAAAGCAGATCTTACGAAGCTCAAGACATTTGCTCGAGTTCAAAAAATGGGTATGTCGGTGAATGCTGGACATTGTAGGGGTAATTCTTACATTGGAATTAGTAGAAAATACAAATGAGATGGGACCTCAGGGCCTCTCTATTTCAACAATGCTTCCGATCCTTTACTGGCGGAGCCTTTGTGGTGGCTCCTTCTGTGGGTCAATCTGACTGGGCCCAGGGGTGTCCGGCTGTGCGGTCAAACTGTATTCTGGGTGCTTCTTGGAGGATGCTCTTGGGTGAGATTAACTTTAAATGAGTTGACTGAAGAGCAGAGTGCCCTTTCTCATGTGGGTGGGCCTCATCGAATAGAACAAAAAGGCTGAACCCCTTTCCCCACCCCCCTGCTATCCCTACCCAAGGGAGAATTCCTCCTGCCTAATGGCCTTCCAACTGAGATGTTGGTTTTTCCTGCCCTTGGACTTGAACTGAATGAAACATTGTCTCTCCCTTCACCTGGAGCTGCCATTCTTGGCCGGGGGCCAGCTCTCCGGGTCTCCGGTTGCGACTCACTCTGCAGATCCTGGGACTTGCCCACCTCCATAATCACACGGGCCTATCCCTTCTAATAAGTCCCTCTATATCTTTTCATATCTCCTGTTGGTTCCATGCCTCTGGAGCACCCTGACTAATGCATCCTTCATCCCCATAGGACTCTGAGGAAAGTAAGCCATCATTAGTCACACATCTAGCCCACAGCTCAAGACAGTAATTACCTGGTTTTTTAAGGTCACGGTTTTTTATAGAGAATCAGTCATGGGGGTTAAATGAGGATTTGTGGTTGGATAAGAACAATGAAATATTTGACTTTTTTTTTTCCCCCCAGAGTCACCAAAGTGGTTGGGAAGGACTTGGGGGGACATGACAGACATGGAGGCAGAGGCGTGGGTTACATGGAGGGAAGAGGACACGGTGGAAAGGAGACCTGTGTAAAACTTTAAACAGTGAAGAAAAATAAATAAACAAACAATAAAGTTTACACAAAGAGAAAAATAAAAGATTAAACAAAGGAAAAAGGGAAAAGAGCCCTAGCCGGCTTGGCTCACTGGATGGAGCATCAGCCTGCGGACTGGAGGGTCCCAGGTTCCATTCTGGCCAAGGACACCTGGGTTGCTCCAAGGGGAGGTGTTCAGGAGGCAGCCGATCAATGATTCTCTCTGGTCATTGATGTTTCTATCTCCCTTTTCTTCTCTCTTCCTCTCTGAAATCAATAAAGAAATGTGTGTTTAAAAAAAAAAAAAAAAAAAAAAAAAAAAGAAAAAGAAGAAAGACTGGATGCACGAGCTCAGAACAGATCCTGTAACACTGAGAAGGTCTGGCAACATCGGCGATGAGGCTGCTGGGGGAGTGGCCTTGCTCAGGGTCACATCGGAAGCTGCCCTTCCAGACCTGCAAGGCTCACAGCGGTGCCGAGGGAACAGCATGCGGGGGCCTCTACCGCATACTCACCACACAGCCGGGCCGGTGCTCTCCCTCCTAAGGCAGCTGGCTGGCCGTGTCGGTCCAAGAGCTACTTCACACTTTGTGTTTAAATTCCCATCCAATTACCAGCTGTTTCCCCGCCCCCTCCCCCCACGTGCCCTACACACGGGATGTAAGACCATCTACGCTCTCCCTTGGGGGCCTATTTCGATATTTATAACATCCTTCGAGGGCCATGCGAACATTTTGCATTTCAATTTCCTATCAGCCACGTGTAAATTCAGCCCAAATTTAAAGTAAGGTCATATTTTATAATTGTCCTTCAAAAGATGAGGTGAAGGAGGAGATGGAGATTTTTTTTTTTTTTTTTTTTTTTTTAAGTAAAGGGAGAAATAGAAGACAATTTTGTAGCTACTTAGACATACTCTACTTTAGGAAAATGCAATCATCATCACTAAAACAGTAATGTTATCTAACATCACATTTTTCAGAGATATTCTGGAGATTCTTTTTTTCCCCCTAACATTACCTAAAATTAAAATGCTCCAAATCAATTCTCCTGTACCAAGGCTGTCTTTTTGGTTTTTGTGGGTTTGGTGTGTTTTTTTTTTTCATTTTTCGAAATTCCTGAAAAACTGTTAATTGCCCGTAGGTATTTCTTCATTTTAAAAATAAATCCAGGACATGAGGATAAAAACTCAACTTCTTTGAAGAGTAGGCTTTCATTTCTTTCTTTCTTTTTTTTTTTTTTAATAAATTTTTATTTATTTCAGAGAGGAAGGTAGAGGGAGAGAGAGAGAGAAATGTCAATGAGGAGAGACTGCCTCCTACACGCTTCACACTGGGGATTGAGCCAGCAACTCGGCTATGTGCTCTGACCGGGAATCGAACCGTGACCTCCTGGTTCATAGGTCAACGTTCAAACACGGACCCTCACTGGCCAGGTGTGTTTTCTTTTAAACATGCACAAAACAAAAAATAGCAAGGATAAAGAAAACGTGCTCTAAGGAAGTTTCCACCGTCTTTCGTTTCAAATGGAAAAATTAACAATATTGAGGAGGAAAACTCCCATTTTTGAGCACTTTCACAGATATGATACAATGTGAAAGTGTCCTCTTTACTGCTAGCAGAGCTGTATTCATTTGCTGAGCGCTGGAAAGTGGCAGGGGGAGGAGATGGCGTCCACGGCCGAACACAGCAGGTGAGTAATGACACATAAAAAGATGACCAGCACGTGCAGGCCACGCCCAGCCCTCCTCACAGGGTATTTTCTAGCCCTCGGTCATCTGATCACAGTGCTGGGTCATTCGTCCACCACCAGGCTTGTCCTGAAAGATGAGTGTCCTTCCCTTTTGACAGAAGAAGCTGGAAAGCTCTACGTTCCAAGCACCAAAACCTACCTTCACAGAGAAGCCCACGCAGAGACGCAGACCACACTGAGGCTAACTGGTGGTCAGAACAACAGCCGAGGTGGTTTTGTTTTGCCTCCTCAGTATAACTCACGTGCCAGGAAATTCAGCTTTTTGATAAATACTAGAGGCCCGGTGCACAAAGATTTATGGCAGAATAGGCCTTCCTTCCTCTGACTACCGACACTGCCTTCCCTCCGGCTGCAGCCACCTTTCCGCTCCAGCCTGGAACAGCCTGTCCGCCTTTCCCCGCGGCCCTGAGGCCCGAGCTTCTGGAACAGTGCAGAACGCCTGTGTCAGCGCCCATGTATGCAAATTAACCCAACAAAGTTGGCGGGTTAATTTACATACTCACTCCTGATTGGCTGGTGGGTATGGCAAAGGTATATATATATGGTCAGTTTGCCTCTTACTCTTTTATCAGTGTAGATGCTTCCCATCAAGTTGAGCTGAAAATCCAAGTCATGAAAACACGTATATTAAGGATTAATTTCTCTTTTATGTAAAACCAGCCACTGCCTGGCTAATTAGAGGCGGGCCTGCTCACCCTCCGTCTCTCTCCCCCCTGCACATCGTGTGCCGAACAGTCACACGCCAGGGGCACCGCATGGTTCCAGAGCGCCCTGCCTTGGCCCGCGCTGGCCCTGGGCCTGGAACACACAGCTCCACTCCTCTTCCGATGAACTCCGTCTCATCCTTTAAGAAGCAACGCAGGCATCCCTCCACCAGGAAGTCTTCCTGACTGCACAGGAGGCCACACTTCCAGGGTGTCTTCCAAGCACTCTGGAATATCACTGGCCCTGAATTCACTGTAAGGTGTGGACCTGCCACGCTCAGCTCTGTCGCCCTGCTCGTCGGAGAGCACCTGAGGGCTAAGGCAGCCTCTCCTCCGAGCCCCTGGTCTGTGCGCATCCGCCTGGCCCCCGATCTGCACTCGCAGAGCTAAGCCGAATGCTCATCGCCTGCCCAGATCCTCCCGCCAGCCCCTGTTGCCTCCTGAAGGAAGCCTCGCTGTGGCCTGGCACCTCTATCGTCTGACCGTGTCTCCCTCAAAACCCTTCACAGACTCTCCATCCCTTACTCCCCACGTTGCTGCCCGCCCCACCCCATAGGTATCGTACTTCTCTCAGGCTTTGTCCCTCTCGCCAGCTTCCAATTCTCCACATTCAATCCACCCTCCGTCATTTTAAGACGTGAAGTATGCCAAGACTGGTTTGGCTCAATGGATAGAGCGTCAGCTTGGGGACTGAGGGGACCCGGGTTCGATTCCGGTCAAGGGCATGTACCTTGGTTGCGGGCATATCCCCAGTAGGGGGTGTGCAAGAGGCAGCTGTTTGATGACTCTCTCTCATCGATGTTTCTAGCTCTCTATCTCTATCCCTTCCTCTCTGAACAAAATCAATAAAATATATTTAAAAAAAAAAAAAAAAAAGACGTGAAGTAAATATTTAAGAAGTTTCACAAACCCAGAGCCCTCCCAGGGCCACCAACCATGAGTGTGCGCCCCCCTGTCTCCCCCCCCCCCTTCTGACCGCCCCTCCCTCTCCAGCCCAGTGACCCAGGGGGAGTGAGAGAGGCACTGAGCTCAGCAGGGATGGGGGGAGCCATCTGGAAGAAAGCCAGGACTGCCTGAGGGTGGTGAGGTTCTGTCCCTGTTTACTTGTTGAAAATAATAAACAGAAAGGGGGAAAAAAGTCCTCACTGGACTTAATTTGCAGCTCTTCCTGCCTCCCAACTTCAAAGGAATCCCAGCTCCACACGGGATCCGCTCCCATCAAAGCTGCGTCATTCTGCTCCACCCAGGCCCCAGGGGCCCGGGGGCCAGACCATCAGATGGGTGTCTTAAAACAAAGCATCACCACCCAACGGGAGGAAGTCCAGCCGTCATTGTGGTCAGATTCTTTTTATTCGGACAAGCCACGGACCGTGACCTTGTCCACCCCAGTTCTCCCAACAAGGCCTGTCGCAGTGATGCAGTGTGCCCTGGGAGTTCGGCTATGAAGCTATGAATGGCTTTTTCCTGAGATTCCTGGGGCCTCTGGGGGAAAGCCCTACATGAGTAAAACAATATTTTCTTTCACGTAAAATACAGTAAAGTTCAGACGTTAAAGGAAGTGGATAAAGCACTGCTCTTTTAAAGACGTTTTCCAGAGGTCATTTATAGAAAACGTTGCTTGGGGGCTGTGTGAGAGATCGCGTGCTTATTGGTCTGGGTTTGTAAATGCCTCTGCCTTTGTAGCTGCACATAACGTTCTGCACAGACCATCTCGTAAAAGATCGTACGCACGTGCTCGTTCCCCCCACACTGCACACCCTTTCGTGTCTGCGAGGGGGGAGTGCACAGCCTCTGGCAGGCCAGGCGAGGACAGTGGGTGCAGAAAAGGGAGTTCGCGTGGCCCGCTGCAAAGCCCTCTGGGAAAACACCCTGAGAGCCTGCCACGGTGGTGAGGAGCAGATTTTCCGGTGGAATTTCTGAAGAGCAATCCAAGTGATTTCTTCCCCAAAATCCACAAGCCCAGCTGGCATGAGATGGTGAGTGTGTGTGTGGGAGGGAGGGGTGAGGAAAGCAGGGTGGGGGAGGGGAGAGTTGAAATGAAAAATTCGTCGTATTTGTGCTTAAAGAACCACGGGGGTGAGGACCCTGTCACGGGATGTAGAATGGGCCACAAGTGAGAACTGCCCTAAGTCTTTAAAACAGCTTCTCCTTCGCACCCAACCACCCAGACCTTGGCTCTGTGTGGGCATCAGCCCTCATTTCCCACCCAGAGAATCACACCAACGGTGACGTCACAAAGTAAGTATTTACCTACTGTGGGCAAGGGGATTGCGTTACATTTAATGGAAATGTTAAATTTCTAAACATGTTGGCTTGGACTTCATGCAGCCATAGAGAGGAGAGGAAAAGGAGGGGGGGGGGGGGGGGAGACTAGCCAGGAGCCATTCCATGGCACTAGCTTTCCCTCTCTCCCTGGAGCTAAACATGCGACGATACAGAAAGTCTTGAAAACTCCAGGCGGGGCATCCCACCAGAGGGCTGCGGTGTGGCCTCAGGTGCAGGCTTAGAGAGCCAGGAGGAGTGGAAGCCACGCTTCCCCCCCCCCCCCCAGTCGCCATGAGGGCTGAGTGGGCACCTGAACCGTCGGAGGCACCGGCCCACGGAGCACGGAACTGTCATGGCACACACCCATGTGGTGGGCTGTCTGAGCAGAGAAACACATGCTCAGAAGCTGCTACTCCTCTGAACAGCATGGAGCGCCGCTCTGCCTGTTTCATTATTACATGAGGTCAGCCCAGAGGCGGCGCGATCCTCAGCACTTCATCTGCATCGGAAGCAACGCTGCTTTCTGGACCCACAGACACAGGGATCCGACCTCTCATCCTCCAGGGCGGCGGGCGGCAAACTCATCAGTCCGCAGAGCCAAATGTCAACAGGACGACGACTGACATTTCTTTGGAGAGCCACATTTTTAAACCTAAACTATACAGGTAGGTCCATTGCTATTGACTTAATTAGGGTGCTCCTCAGCTAACCACTCAAGGGGCCAAAGAGCCGCACATGGCTCTCGAGCCACAGTTTGCCGACCACTGCTGTAGTGGTTTTATTCTCCGGAGTTTGTCCCGAAAGGGACCGTCTCTGAGAGACTCAGCGAGGCAAGGGGGAGCCGCTCCATATTAGGAACAAAGCTTCGGGCACAGAACACCACACAAGATGGGCACAGCACAGCCCGCCCCCACGCCACCAACACGCAGCCACGAGGAGCCACGGCAACTGTTCCCGGAGACGGGCACCGGGGAGACGGGCACCGGGCGGCAGCTGTACCTGGTTCTCGATGGCTTTCCTGTTCTTGGGGTCGCTGACCACGGACAGCTGCAGCTCGGCCATCTTCTTCATCTTGCTGTCCATGTCGATCTTCTGCGCCAGGCTCCGGGTCTGGGCCTTCAGCAGCCGCACCGTGTCCTCCTTGCCTCGCTTCTTGGCGAAGAGGGATGCGCAGGCCGAGTGGATGGCGGTGACCCAGTTTTCCAGGTCCGTCTGGCTGGTGGCCTACACGCAGGAGGGTGAACGAACAAAATAAAAACAAAAACTCTTCAGAACTGTTTTAGCACCAAGTGCTCTCCACGGTGGCAGGCTGGGCCTGGGTGTGTCACACCGAAGGGGGACCTTCCCCCCATAAAGCTGTCTAATTTCAAAGACGCACACAACCATCTAAGAAGCCTTCACTCGCCCGGCCTGCTGGCTCAGTGGTTGAGCATCCACCTAGGAACCAGGAGGTCACGGTTCGATTCCCGGTCAGGGCACATGCCCAGATTGTGGGCTCCATCCCCCGTGTGGAGTGTGCAGGAGGCAGCCGATCAATAATTCTCTCTCATCATTGATGTTTCTCTCTCTTTCCCTCTCTCTTCCTCTCTGAAATCAATTACACACACACACACACACACTCTGAATGGCCAGATTATTATGATCTCTGAAAGCATAATAATCTAGCCACTCAGTGTGTGTGTGTGTGTGTGTGTGTTTGCATGTACATGCATGTGTATGTTTATGTGCATGTGTATGTGTATATGTATATGCATATGTATACATATATTAGAGGCCCAGTGCATGAATTCATGCATGGGTTGGGTCCAGCCAGCCTAGCCATGGGGAGGGGACATGGTTAGTTGGCTGGCATGCCTGCCAGTTGAACTCCTGGTCCAGGGGACAATTTGCATATTAGCCTTTTTTTCTATAAGATATACACTGAGTGGCCAGATTATTATGCATTCAAAGATCATCATTCTGGCCATTCAGTGTGTGTGTGTGCGTGCGTGTGCGTGTGTGTGTGTGTGTGTGTGTGTGTGTGTGTATTTTTTAAGCCTAAGGATTTCTGACCTCACACCCACTTGATCACCTGCTGCTCTGGGACAGGGATGGAGACTTTGCTTTGCAGGAAGGACACCCACGGGCACCGGGAAACGCTCGCTGCCTGAGTGACTGCCCGGCACTGGGGCTGCCGCTCAGGGCCGAGCCCGGCTCACAGCCTAACGGAGCCGTGGCTGTGTCCCTGCCACGCCGTCCTCCCGCCCTGTCCTCACCCTCGGCGACGTCCCAGGCCTGGGGGAGGACGCCGGCGGTACCTGGAACAGGTAGACGTCCCCGAAGGCGTTGCTGAGGCAGAACACGTTCTCCTTCTTGGGGTGCTCGGGCACGGCCTGCACGACGCTGTCCTCGGCGAACAGGGCGCAGCGGGGCGCGCCGCTCTGGTCCAGGCAGTTCTTGCCGTAGGTCTCGTAGAAGAGCAGCGTGCAGCCTGCGGGGAGCACCGGCGTCACACACCCACGACCGGGGGCCGGGGAAGGCGTGCGGCTCAGGAACACAGCCTGGGTGCGGCAGCTGCGCCCACGGAAGGAAACGCTCCCCTGGCCCGTGTGGCTCAGTGGATAGAGCATCGGCCTGCGGACTCAAGGGTCCCAGGTTCGATTCCGGACAAGGGCATGTGCCTTGGTTGCGGGCACATCCCCAGTGGGGGGTGTGCAGGAGGCAGCTGATGGATGTTTCTCTCTCATTGATGTTTCTAGCTCTCTATCCCTCTCCCTTTCTCTCTGTAAAAATTTAATTTAAAAAAATATTTTTTTTTTTTTAAAAAGAAAACACTGGCCAAGACCGGTTTGGCTCAGTGGATAGAGTGTCGGCCTGCAGACTGAAGGGTCCCGGATTCGATTCCGGTCAGGGGCATGTACGTTGGCTGCAGGCACTTCCCCGGTGGGGGGTGTGCAGGAGGCAGCTGGTCGATGATTCTCCCTCATCGATGTTTCTGGCTCTCTATCTCTCTCCCTTCCTCTCTGTAAAAAATCAATAAAATATATATTTTTTTAAAAAAGGAAACACTGGTCTCCAAAGTGCGCCTGGGCCCTTGGGAGGAACTTGGGCCCGGGGACGGCTGGTGTTGCAGTGGATAGCGGCAGTGCCCGCCAGGAGCTGGTGGTGGCCTGGGCAGTGGACAGGGGCAGTGCCCGCCAGGAGCTGGTGATGGCCTGGGCAGGGGACAGGTGCAGTGCCCGCCACAGGAGCACAGAGAGAAAACAGACTGGGACCACAGCGAACGTACTAGAGGGGAAGTCCTATTAGAACAAGCACCAGCCAAGGAGAGCCGTTTGTCTCTGTTCTCTCAAATCCACCTTTAGGTTGGCATCCTTTGAACCCACACGCATCCTCCGTTCCTCGTCCTACTGAGCCGCCAGCACCCTAACATTCCTTTACGCGCGTGTGTGTGTGTGTGTGTGTGTGTGTGTGTCCCCGCTGACACCGGCCCGCTGTTGTGTGTGCTGAGGATCTCCCACGGGGAACTGAGCCTGCAACCCGGGCACGTGCCCTTGGCCGGAATCAAACCCAGGACCCTTGAGTCCGCAGGCCGACGCTCTATCCACTGAGCCAAACCAGACAGGGCCAGGAAAGATATTTGAAAGGGGTACAGAAATACCTACAGAGTAATAAGCAAGGGCTGTGAAGTTCAATCATGTGTGAGATGGGATCACAATGTGAATATTAAGTAAGCCACATCGCCCGGGTTTGAGAAAGTGTGTGCAGCCCTGGCCAGTGTGGCTCAGTTGGTTGGGCATTGCCCCGGTCGAGACATCTGCCCACGTTTTGGGCTCGATCCCTGGCTGGGGGCTTGCAGCAGGCAGCAGCTCCCCTTCACACGGGTGTTTCTCCCTCTCCCTTCATCTCTCTCTAAAAATCAACTTTAAAATCTTAAGAGACAGAGAAAGATTGTAGTAAAGCACGCAGGAAGATCCTATGTCAACAACTCCTTTCACACAGCCAAAACCGGTGTGGCTCAGTGGACAGAGCGTCGGCCTGCGGACTGAAATGTCCCGGATTCGATTCTGGTCAGGGGCATGTACCTAGGTAGGGGGCACATTCCTGGTAGGGGGTATGCAGGGGGCAGCTGATCGATGTTTCTCTCTCATCGATGATTCTAGCTCTCCATCCCTCTCCCTTCCTCTCTGTAAAAAAATCAATAAAATATATTTTAAAAAATAAAATAAAACCTTCTTTCACATGAACTCAAGTGAGCGCAGGCCCCGGCACCCCCAGGAGAGGGCAGAGCGGAGGAAAATCAATAAAATATATTTTAAAAAATAAAATAAAACCTTCTTTCACATGAACTCAAGTGAGCGCAGGCCCCGGCACCCCCAGGAGAGGGCAGAGCGGAGGGAGGCCCCGAGGCCGGGGACACACACCCCCCCCCCCCCCCCCCCCCCCCCCGCGCACCCACCTTTCAGCGTCACCCAGTACTGCTTCCACCTCCTCCGGGCCACCAGCTCCAGCTTCTTCTCCTTCTGCAGCGTGACCAGGGGCTTGAAGAAGAGCCAGCCGGCCTTGCGCACCACCCCCTGCTCCTTCTCGAAGAGCAGGTCCAGCTGCTCCAGCGAGCTGAGCGACCCGCTGCTGGACTCGGCCGTGTCCGTGGACGTGTCCGCGTGCTCCGCGTGGGCCCGGCCGCCCTCCAGCTCCCGCATGAAGTTCTCGTAGATGTCCTGGCGCAGCGGGTCGCCGCCGAGGGCGTGAGCGGACTCGCTCCTCTGGGCCAGGAGCTGCGCCGAGCCCCCCGCCCACAGCGCCGGGAGGGGCCCCGGGCCGTCCGCGTTCAGGCCGTCCGAGCGGCTGTCGAAGTAGTCGCTGCCCTCCTTGGACCTCGGCTCCTGGGAGCAACCGGACGAGCCCGATCAGAAGTTACTACGCACATCCAAAGCGCCCCTCCGCCCCCCGACACGGCACACGGGGGGGTGCACATCTCTAATCAAATCTCTACACCAGGAAGAACTGTGGGAGCAGTGCTGCCCAACCCGGTGTACAGCCGGTGGAGTCAACGCTTCAATGCTTCAACAAAAATATCACAGACTCTCCCCATGCAACCTCCGCTTAGCATCAGGAAATCAACCAGTGTGTTTCACACACGCGAGTGAAAATTTCTAGACTGAGGTTCCTTTGCTGGCTGTGAATCGAAGTCTTAGGGGCAAAAATCCATGTCCTTGCAGTCTATTTGATTTTTCCTGCTTTAAAAAAAAATTATATATATGTATATATTATTGATATTTTACAGAGAGGAAGAGAGAGGGATAGAGAGTTAGAAACATCGATGAGAGAGAAACATCGACCAGCTGCCTCCTGCATACCCCCTACTGGGGATGTGCCCACAACCAAGGTTCATGCCCTTGACCGGAATCGAACTTGGGACCTTTCAGTCCGCAGGCCAACGCTCTATCCACTGAGCCAAACCGGTTTCGGCTCCTGCATCCTTTTAAAGGTAAATTAGGAAATCCTAGTTCCAGGGTCAAGGGGGAGGGGACATGGGACTCAGCGTGGCGAAGCACAAACTTCTAGGCTCAAATCTGTCCGCAAGGTAAACATGGCCCCACCTCCCTACCACCTGCCCAGGTCTAGGCGCGGGGTCTCTGGCAGCTTCCTTTCCCACTGCAGACAGTGAAACCAGGCTCTGAGGTTCCTCACCCCCAGAGGGCACACCGCGGAGCTGTGCCCCCTTTCTTCATAATCAATATCGTGCGCTTAATGTGGGAATGTCTTTCATGAAGAGAACGTACTCTGCATTCACTCTCACCCTTGAACTTGAACATCTGCTTTATTCTAGGCCAGGAGTAGAGAACCCGTTCTGCCAAGGGCCCTTTGGATATTTATAACATCATTCTCGGGCCATACAAAATGAGCAACTTAAAAATTAGCCTGCTGTGTTCAGTGAGATATTTCATTAACTCAGCCCTCATGCCTGGGCGGGGCCACACCAAACGCTTTCTCAGGCCTTTTACATCTGCTGGCCGACATTCCCCACCCCTGTTCTAGGCACTGGGCATTCCAAAGGCACGGGTCTTGGCCGTTCATACTGATTTCAACTCAAAATCAGAGACGGGCAGCTCTGAATAAAATTAAAATTTCTACAGTAACCGCTACCCCTGCGAGGACTCTGTGCCCTGGGTACTGACCGGGCCGAGCAGAGCTGAAAACATGAAGATGTTCTCTTCTATCTACATTACAAGCCCAGTCATTCAGGAAAAACATCTCCCACACAGCCCATTCACTGGCAAACAGCAGGCAAGGGAGCTTCGATTATGACTCAAAAGACACTGACATCCCAAACAGGGAGCTTAGGTCACGGTCGCTCGGCTGAGAGATGCTGACCACGCTCACCTACTCGGCTGCTAGTGGCCTTTCCATGTTGGTTCTTTATCCGTTAGAATAATAACAATGAAAGAAAACTCCATCCAGGCCATGCACTACTGGCCTTCTGTTGAATACTGCCGGGTGAGAAGGGTTTTATTTCCCGGAATTCCACCCAGAAAGCAAGCAGCAAAGCGGCAATGACTTGCTGTCTTTTGCAGGAAAGTCATCAGCTCCCAAGAGTGCTTCCAAACACCCAGGGACAATAAACAGCTGAGCCCCAAACACGGCTATTACTAATGAGACACTGTTTTCCGTGGGTGTTTACACAGTGTCCCAGGGCCATATTTATTTATACGCGATTCTTGAGCAAGAACAGGGCAAATAAGCCAGCTGCGGGGAGTGAGTCATTGAGGAAACTTTCAAAATAGTTTGATTTAAAAAAAAAAAAAAAAAAAAAACTGTCACTTGTTATTCTTCAAAAACTCTTAGGAAGTGAAGCAATACTTCGCATGCAGCTAGCGTTAACACGACCTCGGCGATGAGCGGGACTCTGACTCAGAGCCCCAAACACGGGTTGCCTCTGACACTCAGCAGGAACCACCACGGGGTGAACAGAAGCAGCAGAACCCTGCAAGCCCTTTTGACTTGGTTTCTAAGGAGACACTTCCAGCTGTCGTGCTAACTTTAAAATGTTCAGAGGTAGCAAAGACAAAATGTTCTCCCTGAGAGACGGGAAAAGATGACATGTTAGTATTTGCAGCTGATTCTTATGAACTTCCCTAGTCTCAAATAAATTTCAAAATCTTTCCATCTAGAATCCTAGTAGCCAGGGACGAGCAGTGTTCAGCAAATAGGAATGAATGAATGAATGAATGAATGAATGAAGAAGACATGAATGCCCCTAAATAGGCTCTCTGGTTGTGTTTTGGGTGTGAAGTTAACATGCCATGTGACACAGGTGCGGTTAGCAGACTGATGATTTCTACTCCTCCAATCAGATCATCAATTTCCATTCCTCCAATCAGATCATCATCAGGAGGACACTGAGAGAGAGTCTCCGGATGTCACTCGGCATCTTGGGAGCTCAGGGAAGACGGATCACCACCCTCACTTGCTAGGAAAGAGGGCCAATGGCACCTTGTCATGGTGCGCTTGAATTTTCCTTCAGCGCAGAGTACGGACACCAGTCCTCTGGAGAATTCCCGGGGGACTCTGCAGGCGTGCAGCCCACACATGTCCTGGTCCTCCCTGGAGCACAGGGCCGCCTTATCTCCTACTCCCCGCCTCCCTCCGGCAAAGTTAGGCCCGGCCACCTAACTTTAGCCCATAAGTGTGCCCTGTGGAGAGACCCGCTCGGTGCCAATCAGACATGGACTCAACAGCACAATGCCAGTGACGATGGGGGTCACAGCAGACGACAACTGAACAGAAGTTGGCAGGCGGGGCTCAGTGGTTGAGCGTGGACCTATGAACCAGGAGGTCACCCTTGGATTCCCGGTCAGGGCACATGCCCAGGTTGCGGGCTCCATCCCCAGTAGGGGGCGGGCAGGAGGCAGCTGAGCAATGATTCTCATCATGATGTCTCTCTCCCTCTCCCTTCCTCTCTGAAATCAATAAAAATAATAATAATAAAAAAATAAATAAAAACATTTAAAAAGAAAAGAAGCTCTGGCTGGTTTAACTCAGTGGATAGAGCGTCAGCCTGCAGACTAAAGGGTCCCAGGTTCGATTCCAGTCAAGGGCTTGTACCTTGGTTGCGGGCACATCCCCAGTGGTGGGTATGCAGGAGGCAGCTGATGGATGTTTCTCATCTCATCGATGTTTCTCTCTATCCCTCTTCCTTCCTCTCTGAAATCAATTTAAAAAAAAAACACACATATTTTTTTTAAAAATAGCCAAGACCGGTTTGGCTCAATGGATAGAGCGTCGGCTTGGGGACTGAAGGGTCCCGGGTTTGATTCCGGTCAAGGGCATGTACCTTGGTTGCAGGCACATCCCCAGTAGGGAATATGCAAGGGGAAGCTGATCAATGACTCTCTCTCATCAATGTTTCTAACTCTCTATCTCTCTCCCTTCCTCTCTGTACAAAATCAATTTAAAAAAATATATTAAAAATAAATAAATAAATAAATAAATAAATAAATAAATAAATAAATAAAAGAAGCCCTAGCTGGTTTAACTCAGTGGATAGAGTGTCAGCCTGCAGATTCTGGTCAAGGACATGTACCTTGGTTGTGGGCACAACCAAGGTGGGTATGCAGGAGGCAGCTGATGGATGTTTCTCATCTCATCGATGTTTCTCTCTATCCCTCTCCCTTCCTCTCTGTAAAAAAATCAATAAAATGGAAAATAAAAATAAAAAAAGATGCTATTAAAAAGAAAAAAGAAAAGAAAACGCAAATCTGAGGCAAAAGGGGAAAACAACAACCCACGCGTGCAAACAGAATCGCAGCTCTGGGGCTCCCTGGGGCCCCGCACCAGGGCCCAGTGGTGCGGCACCCCCGGCCCACGCGCCCCTCTCCCGGAGAGGAAAGCGGGGCGCCCCGGGCGCCGCTGCCCGGCCAGCTCACCTGCAGCTTCCGCTTCTTGCGGGACAGGCTCCCGGTCCAGTCGCTGAGGCGGCGCATCCTGGCCTTCAGCGTGTCCTTCTTGGCCGCGGCGTCCTCGGCCAGCGCCTTGGACCTCCTGCAGGGCAGCGTGAAGGACGCGTACGGGCCGGGCTCCCCGCGCCCGCCGCGGGCCAGCACGTCCATGTCGGAGGCGAAGGACACGCGGCGGCTGAGGTCCTCCTGCGAGAGGCGGGCGCGCCCGGGGAGGTCCCGCAGCGAGGACAGGGACGCGCTCTGCGGGAAGGGCTGCGGGGCGCCCCGGGGCGGGGAGCCGGCGGGCAGGCTGGGCGCCGGGGACGGGCCCTCGGCCTCGCTGCCCTCCGCCTGGCCCCAGGGCGAGTCGTACCAGGAGGACTCGGAGCTCGGGGAGGAGCTGCCCTTGCTGGAGCGCGGGCGGGAGCGCGCGGGCGAGGGGCGCGGGCTGGGCGCGCGGGGGCCCGGGGCGCCGGGCGAGTAGCGCAGCAGCCGCACCGGCCCGCCCGCGGCCGCGGCCTCGGGGGGCGCCCTCGGGGGGCCGGCCCCGCTGTGGAACTCCACGCGGAGGCAGCCGTCCAGCCTGCCCAGCGTCCTGATGAGCACGCGGGGGCTCCGCGGGTCCTCGGCGGGCGGCGTGGACGCGGTGGACGCGGTGGACGCGGTGCCCTCGGTGCCCGCGTAGCAGCGCAGCAGGCGGCCCCCGGGGCGGTCCCTGGCGGCCGCGTGGCTCCCCTCGGGCTCCGGGCCGGCGAGGCGGGGGCCGCGGAAGCCGTTCTCGGCCCCGGGGCCGCCGATGGGCCGCGGCTTGGCGGGGGCGCCGCCCTTGGGGGCCTTGCCGGCCGGGCCGGGCCGCGGGGCGTAGGGCTGGCCGCTCTTGAAGTGGGACAGGCAGCTGCGGGCCAGCGAGCGCGACTTGTAGCCCGCGCTGCCCCCGGGGGCCCAGCCGAGCGGGGACTTGTCGTCCTTGGCGTGGATGCTGCGGATCTTCAGGGAGCACGGCTTCGGCTTGGCGCCGGGCACCGCGTGGCCCTGGTGCTTGGCGCCCTGGAATGTGTACTGGCTCTCCGAGTTCCCCATCTCACCCTGAAGGAGGGAGAGCAGGGGCACTGGTGAGCGCCGGGGCCTAAACTGCATTCCATTTAACAATGTACTGCATCTGAAAAGGGGGGGAAATAGCCCTGACCAGTGTGGCTCAGTGGATAGGGCGTCGGCCTGCGGACTGAAAGGTCCCAGGTTCCATTCCGGTCAAGGGCATGTGCTTAGTTGCGGGCACATCCCCAGTGGGGCATGTGCAGGAGGCAGCTGATCGATGTTTCTCTCGCCCATCAGTGTTTCTAACTCCAAATCCCTCTCCCTTCCTCTCTGTAAAAAAACAGTAAAATATATTTTTAAAAATAAAATGAAATAAAAAGGGGAAAGTGATCTTCGTGTTGCAATAAAACCAGGTAACTTCTCTCTGTGCCCGACACAACGCCGCGGAGAAGCAGGGACCAGGCTTACCTGCTGGAACCGCTTCTCTACACCCGGCAAGCCATTAGCCAGGAGCACCATACGGCGTGTCCGCCTGCTGTGTACTTTACACACGGAATGCGTCGTGTGAGGACAACTCAGAAACTGAACTGGCCTAAGAATTAGTTTAAGGCAGAGCTACCTTTAGGCTTGTTGTTGCAAGGTTTTGAATCAATAATTCTTAAAAGAAGAAAAAAAATTAGGGAAAAGTGTCTTTCCTCTATCAGTCTAAATAGTAATTTTTTTAATGGCCAGAGAGATATATTTGCATTCTACATGTACTGCTTAACAATATAAGACAGTACTGCTAAAAACTACCACACTTATAGCACTACTCCAGCTTCCATATTCATACAGGATAGATATATCACAAGGAAGGACTAGAATTCCTCAAAAACTAGGCTGAGATGAAAAGGGGGGGGGGGGGGTGTAAAAGTTCGCATTTGGGGCAGGAAAAAAAAACACATTTTAATAAAACCAATCTCTACAAAGCTTTTATAAAGACTCTCAGAGTCCTCACTTTATAACACGAGGAGAGAGGGGAAAAAAAAAGTTTGAATATGACTTGTATCTCAAAAAATGGTGAGATTCTTTCCATTCCTTTTAAAACCCCCAAACCCTCAATGAATCTATTCGTGCCGCCCAACTCGAAGTGAAATCGGACCCAAACCTTCCCCACTCAGTTTCAGTAAAGCTGGAGCTGAAGCTTCCAGTCATGTTTCCAAACACATTCGGCAGGGTTTAAATTCTTTTATATCGAAAAGGGACAGCCACCAAGCCGAAGTCACATGGCTTGACCGAATAAGGAAACCTTCCCTTATAAATACCTTAGTCACAGCCAGGCAACTTGGCCGTGACCCATGAGTCCCGGGCGCCGGGTTTACCTGCAGCCCGGTTTGTGCTCTGGGGGAGGTCAGTGGTCAGTTGGCCTTCGGAGGTCCTGGGAGCGAGGCAGCATGGTGAAGCAGCGAGTCCACGAAATGGCCCTGAAAAAGCGGACAACGTGAGACACTCCTGTCGAGCACTTTACATCCAGCGCCCCCCAAAAATAAAAACAAGGGTTTCGCGTACGTTCTCTGAAGAGACAACCGCTGGGTCCAAAATCACTGTCAAAACAATAAATGAGTGATGATTTAGTGGGAAATTAGTGCTTTGCATTTGTATACTGTAAATATAAATGACGATTTGTTTGAAATGTGTAACTTTGATATGCAAAAGATAATAACTCACAATGTTAATATTAAATATTCCTTCAAAATAAAAAATAATACTAAAAAAAAAACACAATAAATGAGACGTGTGTGCGCAGCCTGAGTCATCGGGCGGTTTGGGAGACGGAAAGGAAGCCAGGGCTGTCCTCCCACCTGGGGGAAAGGCTCACTCAGCCCGCAGCCCCAAGTCAAAGGCGCGCCTTGTTCCGGGGCCGAGCAGGTGAAAGGCAGGGGTGAGTCACGCGTCTGTCACCGCCTGGGAAAACAGGCCCAGCTCCCCGCACTGACAGCGTGGAGCATCCTCCAGGGGACAAGGCGCTCATTGTTCTCCACTGGACCGAGTAGTAGAAACAAGACCCCGAGTGCTGACACACAGCGAAACAGAGGCTGGCTGGAGTAACTGAAGTTACAGGAGCTGACCTCATGAATGAGATGAACAGTTTTCCTCAAGCTCATGTTTGGGCCCTGCTGCACAAGGGGCAGGCAGCCCGCCTTGGGGTGTGGGGGGGTGAGGGGGGACGGGCCAGGGCGCTGCCATCTGGCAGTGGTCACTGCTGGGACACAAAGCCTTTATTTTCTTTGCAGACATTGAACGCATTGCTATGAGGTTTCAACAGTGAATTGTTTTTCTTAAAAAAAAAAAAAAAAAAAGTAGGAACAATCCTATCCATCCACAAACCGAACCATCTGAAAGAAATGGAAAGATTCTTAGAAACAAACATACAACTTACCGAGACGGAACCTGAGAGAAATGGAAAATCTGAATAGACCAATTACTAGAAAGGAGATTGAATCAGTAATAATAATAATTAAAAAAAAAACTTTCCAACAAACATAAGCCCAGAACCAGACGGTTTCACTAAGTGAATTTTACCAAACACTGAATGAGAATGAACACCAATCCTTTCCAAACTCTTTAAAAAAAAAAAAAAAAAAATCTAAAAGAAGGAAATATTCCAAAACTCAAGACCAACAATTACCCCATTATCAAAACCAGAAAAGGGCACTCCTATTTAAAAAAAAAAAAAAAAAAAAAAATAGAGGCCAATATCCCTGATGAATATACCGTATTTTCCGGCGTATAAGACCACACTGTGTTATAGTAAAAAGCCTGCTCAGATTGGCCAGAGTCAGAGAGGCGGTCTATTAAAAAAAGAACTGGTGTTGCCTCGGAAGTGGGGGGTAATCTTATACAGCGAATATAGGCCTAAACCTATATTATGTTTTAACTGTAAAATTAGGGGGTCGTTTTATAGGCTGGAAAATACGGTAGATGCAAAATTTCTCAATAAAATACTAGCAAACCAAACTCAACAGCACATTAAAAGGATCATTCACCATAACCAAGTGGAATTTACCCTTGGGATGCAAGGATGGTTCAATGTACACAAATCAATCAATGTACTGCATTGCATTATAAGAATGAAAGAAAAGGATCATATAATCACCTCCATAGACACAGAAAAGGCATTTGACAAAAATTCAGCATCCATCATGATAGAAACTGTCACTAAATTAGGCTTTGAAGGAATATACCCCAACATAATAAAGGCCATGTGTGATGATAAGCCCGCGGCTAGCATCATACTCAACACTGGACAGTTGGAAGCTTTTCCTCTAAGATCAGGAACTTTGCATGTTAGAAGGTCGATTTGGGTACAGACAAAGCAGGAATCACTCCCAAGTGGGTCTGCCTGAAAGATCAGTGCACAGACCCCCCGGGAAATGTCTCGGTGATTAACACAGTGCTGCCCAGAGAGCAGGAAAAAGGGGTGACGGGTGACAACAGCATGTGCATGTCAGGACCAGTAATGCTGACCAGCTGTTCCATGTCTCCTTCCTCTCAACCCTGCAGAAGGAACACTGCCTTGACCTGTGGCAAGACGGGTGTCTCTCATGTGTGAGGAACTGATTGCCGGAAAGGGTGATCTCCCAGGGAAACCACGGATTGTTGTCCCTGAAGCGTGTGGCAGGTGGAACACACACTATCCGCCATGCTCCACCTGTGATTTCCATCTAGAAGCGAGACAGTGAATAGGTCAGACTGTCTGCACTCTGATTCTGGACTCCTTTTCTAAGGGAACTTGATGGCATTCAAGTTAAATGTTTTGTTGTTATTATTCATAGGGGGTTGAAAAGATGGAAACAATTGATTTCCTGTGAGCTTTTCTTTTCTTTTTTTTCTTTTTTAAAGAAATACTTTTTTAAAAAATATATTTTATTGATATTTTACAGAGAGAAAGGGAGAGAGATAGAGAGCTAGAAACGTCGATGAGAGAGAAACATCGACCAGCTGCCTCTTGCACACCCCCTACCGGGGATGTGCCCGCAACCAAGATACATGCCCTTGACCGGAATCGAACCCGGGACCTTTCAGTCCGCAGACCAACACTCTACCATTGAGCCAAACCGGTTTCGGTTCTTTTTTAAAGAAATACTTAACAACAACAACAACAACAAAAAAAAAAAAAAAAAAAAAAAAAAAAAGAAATACTTAACAGGCCCCCATATCTTTAAATAGAAAAAAATATATACACTTTAGGTACACCAACCTGCAACAATAGGTATCCCTAATGTGCTATGAGGCCCACAGCTGACGGAGAGGTAGGTTAAGTGATGTCACTTCGGAATAAATAATCACATGGCGCTAAGACTGTGTGTACTTGGCAAAAATTGTATGCTGTGTACACACTATTTATAATAATTTTTAAATATCGAATAATTATAAAATATCCAGATACTTAAAAATTGACCGCAATCTCGTGAGGCCTAAAAAGAAATTCCTGTTCTTTCACTTTCTGAATTCCCTTCCAGCCCCCATGCAGGGGACCGTGCAGTGCTAAAATCCTAAACAAAGAATGGAATTTTTTTTTTCTTTTTTAAAAATGTGATCAATTACCCACCCAGGAAATGTGCAGCAATGGGGAGGAATTTCACAAACACGTCCTCGCAACCCCAGCTTACTGGGTCCCACCGCAAACCGCCGTTCAGGAGGGCATTCAAGACGTACCTTTTCTTCCCGTGCCTGCAGCTCGCCTTGAACTGACGCCCCGGATTCCAGGTCTCCGCTTCCGGGGGCGTCCAGTTTAGAGCAAAAAGGAACTAAAGTCCTCCAGCCCTGCCTGGTCCCAGCCCCAGGCCAGCTGTGCTGATGGAGCAGCTACAGGGACCAAGAGGAACCCCGGGTGGGCCAGATGGTGCTGCGGGGAGGGCCAGGGCTCACTGGGGACAACAGAACAGAGGCCTGGGGACACTGCCCAAAAGCAGAGAGCGAGGCAGCTAGGGAAGCCCAGGTTGTGCATCTGGAAACACCAACCAGCTTCTAACATCCCTTTGGAGAGAGTTTATACAGAAGCA